GCATTGCGCGCCCTCTTGTTTTCCTTTCTGGCGATTCCTGCAAAGGTTGTAGAAGACTCCGAGGGGTTGAGAACGGCTCCCTCCAAGAGTGGGACTTGCAAACTTTGGGAGGAAGCGAAGGAGATGTCGAGGGATGCGTTTGATTTCAGTGATTCGTTTTAGCCTGGGAATAAGAGGGCATTATACATTTGGAGAATTTCCCTCTCATCTCTGAATAAAGAGAAGGTTTCTGGCCCCAAACAGTTATTTGTTGCAACAGTTAAAAGGTCAACAAAGAACTTTTTCCCGGAGTCCCCGGTTAAGATATGAGTAAATCCCTCCTTTCAGTAGGTGGGGGAGCCCCGCCCTCCACTTGTTCACGTTAAGGTGTTTTCATTTCCCCTGAGGCTTACGTGTGTCTGGTCTTGAGCGCTTGTCGTGAGTAAATTCTGATTACTTTTTAAAACAAAATAGTATAGAATTAACGTGTGGACCATTCTTTGCCTGCCGCTTTCCCCCTGGAATCATCCCCCAATCACCACAGCTCTTCTAGATGGGAGAATAAGGGGAGAATTAGCAGACAAGAAAAAGTTTACAGCCAATCTTGCCCTGATGGAAGTCCCCAATACGCACACAGGTGCCCTGTAAATTTACAAAGATTCAGTATTTGAAGTTCACTGTTCAAAGATGGATGGATGGGTTGATTTTTGCTAAACTTTGACTTCCAATTAATAGAGCTCAAGAAGGATGTAGCTTCCTCTTAAGGTCTGTACAAATCCTAATTGTGGGATTAATTTGGGCCATTGGGTCAGGGTTTTAAAAATCTGGTGGGTTATTAGGTGTCGATAGCAATTGGGACTTTCCTGTATTGCTTTATTGCTTTCTGAGGTTGTCCGGGTTTTTGTTAGGAAACCCAGGCTGATGCTCCAGTTGTGTTCTGAAAAGAAACTTCACCTTATCAGTGAAGCAAAGCTGGAATTCAGATCCCTGCTCTTGTGTCCTTCACAGTAACTTGTTCTGTCCAAATTGGTATGACCTTCCTGGAAGATGGCAATCAACATGATCATCCTTTAAATCCATCTGCCAGTAACAGGACAGGAGGATAATCACAATAAAATCTTGCCTGAATGAGAAATGCCATTTAGCTGGGTGGATCCGAGGTGGTGCTAAGATTAGAAAGACAACTTTTGCATTGAAAAATTGAATGTTTTCCGTATTCTGATTTACTTTTTCTCCCTGATGTCTATAGATGTCCTGAATCATCCAGGTCATGGTTGTCCCAAAGGTGCTTTTCAGAAGGTAACTGGACTTTCTTGGTTCTTTTTTCCTTGAAAACATTTTGCTTCTTTCCTCACTTGTTTGTTTGCAGGTAACTTAACTGTGGCAAAACTTCCAGCAAGCATGGCCAGTGGAACCGTAATTGCCATCCCCTCTAATGCACAGAACGTAATCCAAATGGCCCCTGGATTGCCCAGTGTTGTTCTTCAGGCATCTGGAGCAACTCCATATCCACAGTATGGAGCTCAGCAACTTGGAATTTCCACCAGTGCTCCTCAACAAGTCTCCCAAAAGGGTCCTATGCAGAGATTCCTCAGTGCTGAGCCCAAAGTGCTTGGGGTACGTATGCTTTGCTATGTGTCTTTTTGAAGGCCATTAAGATTTTAGAGATATGTAGAGACCTGTAAATCCTATGTTGAAGTTCTGGAACTTGGCTTGGCTGTTGTCTGGTTCTGGAATATACTCCAGAAATCTCTGTTCTTCCTGGTAGTTTCTTTTGAGATTCTGCAAAACATTTTGACTCAGATATGCATTCCTTTTCTTTGCTCCTTAACTGAAAAAGTGGAGTTCAGCCATAGTTTCAGCCAGATCTTTTTCTCTCTTCTGAGAAGCGCAACTGTTGGGCATTTCTCCAAAAGAACTTGGCTGCAGCCCAAAAACTTCCTCCTGCAGAGGAATCTGTAGTGAGAAAAGTGATATTCCTCTCTCAAATGCCCATCTTGATATTCTTACAGTCCTTCTTCCTGACAAGAGCAGCCTCACTGTAGGTCAAACTCTATTATAATCTGGAGGAAATGTCCAGTACATAGTGACAATGGTGTCTCAAACTGTCCCTTCTCCCCATTTGAATTTTTCACCATAGGAAACCAGGCCTTGGGTCAACACCTGCCCTGGAAGCTTAGAAGCCCCAACCCCTTTCAAGGACCTTTCAAAGAGGGATAGAAAGTGATGCTTTTTCAGGGGTGCTAACAAATTAGAATGTTTCCCTTTCTCAGATTCAGAGAACTAATTTGTCTTATGTTGTGTGTGTTCCTTCCGTAGGCCATCCAGATCATGATTGGGCTGATCCACATTGGCTTTGGAGCTGTCACAATTTGTCTCACTTTGTTTCCCTCTTACTACCTTATCTTGTCTGTATTTGGAGGTTACCCCTTTTGGGGAGGGATATTTGTAAGTATGTGCAAATTTCTATTCAGTCATGCACCATGGTATTAATGGCTAACGGATGTCTATAAAAGTCTTGTTTGCAGTGGAGCCTCCCTGGCTTCTTATGAGTGTCAGAGTTTTCTGACAATTTTCCTCTTTATTTCCAGTGGACTACAATGATTTGTTTTTCTTTTCCTTTTCCCGTAGTTCATTTCTTCTGGATCACTTTGTGTTGCAGCTGCGATCCGTCCAAACCGTTGTTTGGTGAGAAAGCTATAAAGCATTTACATTTCTTTTATGCTGTTTCTTTGTAAGCACTTGGGATCTATTATATTGTCTATTGTCTTCAGATACTGCTCAGTCATAAATCAACATTTGAGGGGGGAAAAACACTCAAAAGCACCCCCACCTTCCTTCTTTGATCAACTTTTGCTTCCAAGCTTTGCTTTCTTTAAAAGTTCTGTGGAAACAGTAGAGACTGTTCAACCATCCAGAATTGGAGCCTTCCCTGGTCCCCTTTTTGCGGTGGGCTTCTTCCCAAGTTCCCTTCCTGATGTGCAACCTGCAACACTGCAGGTCCTGTCAATACCATGCCAAAAATGAGAGAAGCTTGAGAGAGTCAATGACCATGACGTGGGTGCTTGTTCTACCAGAGTTTGCTAGTTGCCACTAGTAATGGTGCTAGTCCTGGGCAAAGAAGTGTCATCTTGCATTTTCTAATCTTGAACCAGACCTCCATTATTATTACTATTATTATTATTATTATTATTATTGTTGTTGTTGTTGTTGTTGTTACTACTACTACTACTACTACTATTACTACTACTACTACTGCTACTACTACTACTACTATTATTATTATTATTCCTCCTCCTCCTCCTCCTCCTCCTCCTTCTCGATAGAGGGTCCAGTTTCCAAAGTACTCCTTCATGGTAGCAACATTAGGAAGAAACCTAGTGTATTAGGAGTAAAAGTATGGAACTAGAGTGGGAATCATCCTGGAAATCAAAAGGGAAGAGAGAACTGATGGTAACCCTTCTACAAAAACCTGGCATTCTTCTCCCCTTTTTCTCTTTGATTTAAAGTGTGTTCATAGCAACATGGAGATGTCTTTGTCTTTTAAAGGAACAAAGTGTGTATTCAAAAGAAGAAAAACAACCATCTTGATGGTAAATTACTACATTCCTGAAAGGGGAGAACTGAAAAGAGCAATGTTTAAGTGTTCAGAATTATCGTTACTGGCTCCTGGGTTTCTCCATTCCCATCTGATTAGTTGCCTCTCTGTAATGTTGTATAGCTAAAAGAGCATTTAACATTAACATTTAATGCTTAGAGTATGTTGGGACTAATTGCTTTTATGTTTTGCATTTAATAAGACCTATGCTGACATTGTAATTATAATTTCTTTCCTTCTGGTGTATTGCTGTTTCAGGTACAATCCAGTGTAGCAATGAACATCATAAGTGCTATAATGGCATTAACTGGTATCACCCTGTATCTCTCTGAGCTGATCATCAACAATAATTATTTTAGATATTTCTATCAATATAACACTGGATATTTAGTGGTAAGTAAACCAATCTTGTCTTAAATTTTGGCTTCATGTGCAGATTCTAGAAGGAGATTATATATGCAGGGGAGATATCCCAGATCCTTTGACTTTTGTTTGAATATTTTGGGGATAGATTTTTTTTAAAATTGAAAATGTATTTTAGACATACCTTTTGACTCTATCTCTGTAGAGTGTAAAAATTTGGTTGTTTTACAGAAGGGCTTAGGTGCTGCAAAACAAAAAATAGTTTCTATATAGAACAGAATACAGCTGTACATGTTGAAATCTATACCAGGTTTTCCCACCACCCCCACATCCTCATCCCTTCTTTGCATTTGCCACCCAGTTTTAGAAAACTAAAATTTAAGTAAGTTCTGAAGTGTGGACAGTTTAGAACCATGCCAATACCTGGGATCACAGGCTTGATATTTTACTATTTTGTAAAGTGGTATCCTTTGTTTTCTTAATAGTGTTAAATCATAATAGTCACATCCAGGGTTTTTCCTCTTTCCAACCTGACAGATGATTGGAAAGAAGTTGAGTAAAGAAAATAGATCTAGCTGTATCCTTATTGATGAGGGGAAGCAATAAATCTTAGACTGGCTGAATCTAAATCATGTTGCTGCCCTTGACCATACTCTGTTGATGTCAATTTCTCCAATTTTCCCATGAAGTTACCTTTACCTTATCCTCAGCCCATGAGTAAGATTCCAAGCCTTGTGTCATCATTAGCTGGTATAAAACTAGTATAAAACTAGTCTTTTCCTCTCATCTTATTCTGGCCCCATCCAACAACAGCCTCAAAGTGTATAAAATCTATTTCCCTTCATCCATTATCTTGAAGATAATGTCCGGTGATCAAGACTGGATATGTTAGGACAGTGGGGAGGCCTTTCACTTTTCCTCTTTGGACTAGCCAGGCCTTTGTCTTAACCATTTCTCTTTCTCCCTCTTCATCAGCACTTTGTTTCTTGAGGTTTCCTATCCATCCCCTCTCACCTCCATCATCCCAAAGGTGCTTTTTCAAGAGGCAACTGGACTTTCTCATTTTCCTGTGAAGACGCTTTGCTTCTCATCCAAGAAGCTTCTTCAGATCTAACTAGATGGTGGCCTCCTCGCTAAAAGAATGCAAATGACCAGCTGTCTGCAAGGAATATTAATCCTTCCATCCCCCACCATGTGGTCAGAGCTGAAGAAGCTTCTTGAATGAGAAGTGAAACTTCTTCACAGAAAAACAAAAAAGTTCAGCTGCCTTTTGAAAAAGCACCTTTGGCACAACCATGACCTGGATGACTGAGAATCTCCATAGACACACTCCTCCATTGCTTCTCTCCAGGCAACAGGAAAACAGTCCCTCTACAGTATATTTCCTATTGGGAAATAGGAAGCAAGCAAATTACATCTATTTACTTCAAAAGTGAGATGGCCATACTTACAATTGATAAATAAGCAAAATAAATCTATTTACAGTATGGTTTAATGTCTCTGCCCCTCCCTGGCAGAAAAGGTGGCTTGAGCTAGTCTGTTTCAGATCTTCTGCATTGCAGGATATATCTAATTGTGGCAAGAGCTGCCTTCCTCTTCTCAGAAGATTAGTAGTGCTCAGGCTATTAATACCCAATGTCTTTTCATATGTGCCTTTATTTTACCTAAAATTTAACTTGAGAAATGCCCAAATTGAGGGTGGAAGGAAGGCACAGCAGACACCCCATTTCTGTTTTAGTACCCTGAGTGATGGATTTTTTCCTTATTGACTGATGCATGTTAAAAATGGATGCCAGCAAAGTCAGAGGAGAAAACCAGTCTCCATGTCTGTAACAGGTGGGATTTTTAGAAGCCAGAGCAACACCATTCAAGAGTAAATCAGAAGAGAACAACAAAGGGCAGGAAAGAGGCTGGCAATAGGGACTCAGTATTTGATGCCTTCATTATTTTGTGTTGACTCAAGGATGAATTATGCACATAGCACTTTGACTCAGTTTATTAGAGTTAGGAGATACCACACATTGAAATAGGACTCTTCCAAAGCAACCGCTGCAAATCAGAATCTGAATAAGTGGTTCTGGGAGATAGGAACAGAGAGGGTATATTTTCCAAATAAGGAAAATATCCAGGTGCAGAATGAATTAGTTTGCTTTCACTGCTTTGGGTTCTGCTCTTGTGACTCTTGGTGTAATTCAGGAGAATATACATCCTAAATGTTCTACTGTATTTGAGTCATTATAACCTGAATACCTTGTTTTGGGGAACACGTCCCTTTAAATAAGGAAGCAGAGGGACTGAAGATAAAACAAAACATCTTTTATTGACATATAAAGCTAGAGTGATCGCTGGTCACTTGGCCAGCAGAATGCCAAAGAGCCTAGAACTAAGAAAGATTATGGTTTAAATACCCTTGGAACATAAGAATAAGAATGATAATGTACATCATACTATGGCCTTTACAACTGGGAGGGATCCTTTTCATTACTATGGGGTATCCTTACCATGGTCTGACTCAGGGCCTCCAAATTCTACATTCCTACAAAGGCTCCAGTCTGGCCTTCTTCTGCTAACACTACTACCACCTTCTAAAAGCTGAGCAGCTTTTTCTGCATAAAGGAGAAATAAGGCTCAGGTGAAATACATGCTACTGTGCAATGATTTAACTTGATGTGTGACTCTGAAATATGATTGATCCTCCTTTGATTCTCAGTGTTATCTGGAATTTCCCCTCAGAATGCTGCAAAACATAAGAGGTGCTAAAGTTCCCTGGTGTGGTTTTCTCCTATCACACAAACTGTACAGGCAGTCTTTAATTGAATGAACAACTATTCATTTAGTGACCATTCAAAGAGTCAGTGGCACTCAAAGCTATGACCACTCCTTGCATGTATGACCATCTCCACAGTCATATGATTAAAACTTGGGGGCTTGGCTACTAGCAATGTATTTAGGACAGTTGCAGCATCCCCTCTGCGACTGTTCCAGCTTCTGAACAGCAAAGACGCTGGGGGTGGGGAAGCTGGAATCACTTAACAACCGTAGGATTCCCTTAACTGCAGCGATTTGGTTAACAACAGTGGCAAAAAAGGTAAAATTATGCATGACTCACTTAACAACTGCCTTGCTTAACAGTGAAAATTCTGATCCCAATTGTGGTGCAGCACATTAAATAAAACAAAATACATACTGCTACATTAATTTCTCAGCAGATTACTTTCCACATGTTTACAGATTCCCCAATATAGTATCGGTTATGGCCTCTCCAGTCTGCTGCTCTTGTTCAGCGTCCTGGAATTTTGCATCACTGTTTCACTTGCACACTTTGGGTGCCAGGCAACCTGCTGTAGTGATGACCAGGTAAATATTTGATACTTCACTAATAGCTTTAGCAGTTGTCATTGCTAAAGAAATTAAAGAAGAAGTTTGTCCATTTTCCTCCTTTATATTTACACTCCACCTAACCTCACCTTTTGCTTGTTTCTTTGCTATTACCCTGAAGAATAGGTGAGATTAGCTGCTCAGGTTACCCAGTAAGCTTTATAACTGGGAGAAGCTTGAATTTTGATCCAAATAACTCTGTGGTTATTTGCTTCTGCATATGAATAATTAGATGACACATTTTTTTCCCCCAGCTTCTGTTTTGCTAGAGAGGGAATGCCATGAATAAAATGGTTTGTGTTTTCTCTTTTTAATTCATGATGCAGAAGTTCATGTCCTCATTTAAGAGGGCTCAGTTTGAAATGCATATATTTACTTTAGTAGTGTGACTACATTAATTGAAAGCATCTGTCACTTGATCACATTTTCTCACAATGCTACCATTCTTTGAAAAAAAATTAGGTCTTTTTCATTTTTTTTTTGAAAAAAACAACATTTTTAATTCTCAGACCAACAGCTGAATACATGACTACCCTATGCTATCTAAGATCTCCAAATGTAGATGTGGCAATAAAGGGATTCTATCAGAGCTACAAAAGCCTTTGAAAAAACCAATTGAAAATAACTGAATTGCCAACCAAGTGCCTCCATTGTGCATTGGCAAGTTCTATGGCGGGTGAGAAAGCCACGTCTGTCCCTCGTTCGGCAGAAGCAACAATTGGCTTCCTTTTGTATCAAAAACTAATATACTCTCAACCTTTCAGAAATGCTTTAGAATAGATTAATTTGAGAGGAAGAAAATGGGAGAGAACAAAGACCGAAAGGGGTGAATATGGTTGGACCTGAATAAACAGAAGAACTCTAAAAATATTGTAATCAGCTAAATCAGCATGCAGAGATACCTGTCTTGGAGGCCTTGGTGCTCTCTAGCCTGGTTGCTTTCTAGCAAATGTTTCATTACTCAAATTAGATAACATCTTCAATGCAGGTTTATTATTTAAGTAGTAAAACATCTGCCCAAAACAACAAGCAACCTGAGCTACAAATATTCTCCTTTATAGATTCCTGTAACAGTTCACAGCAACTGTTGGTTGAAGCCATTTCAGAAACCAAAAAATAACCTCACCTGGAGGGAAATGCATCTTCTTCGGGCCTTTAAATTGCTAAAATAAGTTAATAATCTGATGTCTTTTTTGAATAAATCATGAGAATAATATTTATTTATTAATATGCTCCTCA